AGGGGAGAGAGAGGAGAGACAGCCAGAGGAGAGACAGCCAGGGGAGAGAGGAGAGACAGCCAGGAAAAATAGAGAGCGAGAAGAGACAACCAGGGGAGAGAGAGGAGAGACAGCCAGGAAAAAGAGAGAGCGAGGAGAGACAGCCAGGGGAGAGAGAGGAGAGACAGCCAGGAAAAAGAGAGAGCGAGGAGAGACAGCCAGCGAAGAGAGAGCGACAGCCAGGAGACAGCGAGGAGAGACAGCCAGGAGAATGAGACAGCAAGGAAAGAGAGAGAGCGAGGAGAGACAGCCAGGGGAGAGAGAGGAGAGACAGTCAGGAGAGAGAGCGAGGAGAGACAGCCAGGAGAGACAGAGAGAAGAGAGACAGCGAGGAGAGACAGCCAGGGGAGAGAGAGCAAGGAGAGACAGCCAGGGGAAAGAGAGGAGAGACAGCCAGGAAAGAGAGAGGAGAGACAGCCAGGAGAGAGGAGAGACAGCCAGGAGAGAGAGGAGAGACAGCCAGGGGAGAGAGAGGAGAGACAGTCAGGAGAGAGCGAGGAGAGTCAGCGAGGAGAGACAGCCAGGGGAGAGAGAGCGAGGAGAGACAGCCAGGGGAGAGAAAGCGAGGAGAGACAGCCAGGGGAGAGAGAGCGAGGAGAGACAGCCAGGGGAGAGAGAGCGAGGAGAGACAGCCAGGAGAGAGAGCGAGGAGAGACAGCCAGGAGAATTAACAAGGAGAGAGAGAGGGAATTTTTTTTTCGTTGGTAGATCTCATGTAGATCGTCATTTGAAAAGTATCAACACAAACATTGTGTTCCCCCCTGATCTAGACAGACTAGAGATGAACCGGGGCGTCCAGCGGCTCCTGCGCGGGTGAGCGCCACATTTATGACTGATTCCGCGCACTCTTCTTCTTTTTTCTTCCAGGTCGCGTTTTCTTCCTCCGCGGCCCGATGAACTACACAGAAGCTCTGGCCGCCTGCCGGGCCCGCGGGGCTCGGTTAGCCAAGGTGGGCCACCTGTACGCCGCGTGGCGGTTCTTCGGCCTGGACCACTGCGACGGAGGCTGGCTGGTGGACGGCAGCGTCCGTTTCCCCATCGCCGATCCCCGGGAGAGGTGCGGGGGCCTCCCCGACCCGGGGGTGAGGAGCTTCGGTTTTCGCGGGCGGGAAGAACGGCTCTACGGGGGGTTTTGCTACGCCGGTGTTTAGGGAGTGCGCGCCCCTTGCCGCGCTGCGGGAGAACGGGCTACGGCGAAATGGAGAGCCCAACCACCAACCAAAGAGGGACTGGACCAAAGAAAAGAACCGGTACTCTACATTGTTTGCCATGGACTCCGGGCAAACATCTGAACGCACAACGCCGGACCCGATGCACCCGCTGAAGGATTCCTAAGTGCGCTCGGCCAGCTTGGCTCGCTCGGCGACTTTACCTTTCTCTTTCTGCGGTCGTGTCGCCGACCTGCCCCGGCCTGCGATTGGCTAACGAAGGAGCAGCACGCTGATGAGTTCCTCTGTCCGGGACTGTGCGCCATGCTTGGAAAACAGAGCTGCGATTGGCTCCTGGTGTTGCCCCTCCCTCGATAGAGCTGCAGTGCCGGGGGTCACATCCGTATATATCTAACTTTTATTGTTTCATGTAACACCTAACATGACTAATGGTGCTTTGTGTACGACGTCATCGGGGGAGCCCCAGCCTGGGATGCCGTGCAGAGTTTAGCAATTCATCAACGTCACGGGGGACGCATTGTCATCGATTTCCTATATTTAAAGGACACCCCCCCCCCGCCATATGTTTAGCATAAGCAGCGTACAGCACCTCCTACCGTGTAATAAAAGATCAATAATAACGATTTCTAATCACGTTCAGTCGCCAAAACTGTATTCAATGTAACTGCAAAAAAAACGAATGTAACGTTTACCTGACACCATTAAAAATGAGCAAAGGAGATACATAGCAGCTGTCACCCTTCGGTGAAAACGGCATGCCGAAATGGTCAGCGGGTTCAGAGTGATGGGCAGGTGAAGGTACACGCAGTCCCGTATAGGACTACATAGGCCATGGGCTAGGGTTAGGATTGCCACCTGTCCCGGGATTCACCCGGACAGTCCGGGATTTTGAATGCTGTGTGTCCGGGTTTTCGTGGCAGCTGAAACCCGGACGCACGATGTCAGGCAGACGGGGGCAACCAAAATTGAGATGGGGGCCACTGAAAATAGTCTGATTGTGGTATGAACATATGAACAGATCCGAGGCTCATTCTCACCCAAAACATTTTCCGAGAGTCTCTGTGGCAACTCCAGCAGTGATGTGCGGTACCTTCCGTGCTGGGCGAGGCATTCCCCAGCCCCGCCCCCAGCCCACCAAAGCCCTCCCCCCCAACCCGGTCACCAAGCTATGTGTGGAGGAGGGAGGAGCCTCCCCGTCCCTCACTTGCTTGTCGCTGGTGAGCAGTGGCGTAACAATCGCCATAGCGACCCAGGTCGGCCGCTATGGGGCCCGGGCACAGGGGGGCCCGGCCAGGGCATCCCTCTGATGCCGCGCGGGTCGCTATGGCAAATCGGGGTGCTGGCTGTCGCTGACAAAGCTCAGCAGCGGCTGCGTCAGTGACAGCCAGCAGCCGCGGCAGAAGAGGCCGGTCACACCGGTGTTTCGATCGAAGGTTCGAACTCATCAAATTCTCGGACTCAGAGGAGAACCCTGCAGAGCCCGCCATAGAGAGTCTATGGTGGGCTCTGCAGGGTCACTCTCAGGCGGGCTCTGCAAGTGGCATAACTAGCAATCATGGGGGCCCCATACAAAACTTTGCTACGGGGGCCCTGTGATTTCTAGTTATGCCCCTGCTGGTGAGGCATCGATGTCCTCAATGGTTTTTTCATTGGGCAGCTTGGACCAATGGCGCTGTGCCATTGGTCCAGACCATCCTCAGAGCTCAAGCCTTTAACATAGAGTAGAGCAGCTCTGGCCTCACTAGGTTAGGTTACACGGGCATTGGGGAAGCCCGCTGCGGTGCAACCTAACTCAGCTGTCAAAAGCCGGATGCGGCGCCGCCTGTAATTAACGCCCATGACAGTGTCCACGGCGGGGAGGCTTTCACTGCTCTGTAACCTGTTACAAGCTGCTCTGAAGGGAGAAAAAGCTGTGCCGGCCCTGAACGCTAGCTTGGGCGGAATGGCCACCAGGGCGGCGCCAACCTGCTTCTATGTGCCTATTAAAGGAGAACTATGAGGGGGAGGGGAGGGGCTTTTCACTCCCCTCATAGTTCTAGCCGACCTGTGACAATGAGACTGTCACAGGTCGGCTCAGTAGATGGGGAGGTGAGCGAACGCATACCGGCTGGTCGCCCACCTCCCGATCCTGT